TAATCCTGGTGTCATCATGGCGACCGGAAAGCACGATGTGCAGTTCAACAAAATTCCCCTGCAGTTCCCGCGTTCGAGGCCAGGCTGGGATGGCGGATTGGCGTTGCAGGATTGTGATGCCACTCTCAGTGGAGATCGTCTTATCATGTCTTGCCTTTCACTTTCATTCCCTTTCTTTGGCTGCAAGAATAGACGCGAGAGTCTGAGAGCGGCGCAATTGAATCACAGGCTGCTCTTCCTCGAGCTGGCATGCGTTGGGCACGGTGCAGACATGCGCCAATGCGGTGTCGGGAGCCGCTCGATTGCACGGACGGGCTAGGGCCTACTCCAAGGACCCCCTCAAGCACCTCTCCACCCCTCGAGGCCTTTGCCCTGCATCCAGCCCATCCCCTCCATCCAGGCCCATGCCCCCGCCCTTTGCCCGCATACCTTCCATGCACTGGGACCGAAACAGGTCGGATGAGACCAGACCAAAATTTGCATGTGCCAGGCGAAGATACAGTCAACTACTCGTATGATAAACAATGACTCTTGAACAGTCGTGAATACGACGAAGAGTTGGAAGAATGGGCTTGACGCTTTCCCCATCCAGTGTTTCCAGTTGTTGCCTTTGGGTGTGTAGATACAGGGAGGTCCACCAAAGTATGTTCAGAGGGTCCTACTTAGTTTGGGGAGGGGCCTTTCTGCACTGTGATGCACTGCGACATGAGAAGTTGGAGAATGAACTCTTGGCTGCCCTTGTCCTCCTTTCAGACCCTTCAAATATGGCGCGCTTCATCAACGCAGCATCTTTCGAGGTCACAGTTGCTGCTCGGTTGAATGTTTCGAAGTTGACTTTGGCGTTGCCAGTCGGAATAGGGGAGCCTCGATTCGAGGCCTTTGCCGGCCCAAGGGAGGCGCCCTTTCAAGCCCTCGACAAAGAGCCCAGGCCTTAAGGCCCTAAGGGTCGGATCACGACATTTGGACAGAATTGCTGCAAAATGCAGTGAAAACAGCCACCTTCAATTTCTGCAATTTTTCTGTACATGCTCAAGATGGGAAACGGCCATTGAGGCCTCATTCAGTGATCCTGGCATCGGTGCACAACCTGAATGACGCCACTCCAAAACAGGGCTTCAAGGCCAGAAGCTGTTCTGATTCAACTGCATAACTGCTTTCGGTAGGGGCCTGAAGGTCGATTTAATTGTAACGCTACGCGACCCGCCTCGGCCTGAACTTCTGTAACAAGGCAACCCCAAACCAGGAGCTCGGGGCAGTGGTGGGAAAACGCCCCGGAGGCCAAGATGAAAGGCGGGCGGGGTGTAGGGGCGGTGCCCCTGTGGCAGGCTGAAGTAACCCCTGGTCCTGATGCACCGTCTGCTCCCGGACACTTGTCGGCTATGGGGGCTACCCATTTCAGGCCAAACAGTGCAAAATAAAGGTGCTGTGTGAGGGGATTAAAGGCGGGGCGCCTGCTTTGTGCTACCCAGACACCTACGGCCCAAGGCCTCGACGGATATGGGTCATATCTTCACGGTTGACAGGAATAGAGGACTGTATGTTTGTCATTGTTGGTCATTTGACGCGACATAATGGCCCCGGTTGGATTGCGCGAGCTTTGACGTTGCCGCTTGACACGTGAGACATTTTGTCACACTCGGGGCCCACATGGATGAGAGCTTTAAGATTCCTTCGAGCTTAAGACGATGCAGTCGTGGCATGTCTTGGCATGTTTTGGGGGCCAGGTGACAGTCTGGGAAATTCCCAGCACACGCTGGAGGAGTGGTCGGAGCATTCAGCCACCTGCTCGGAGGAGCGTCCCAGAGTGGATGTAGCAAGAGAGCTCACAGCATCTCACAGCTGTGTTGACATGTCCCATCAGCTTTGAGTGTTCGAACCCTTGCAGGATATTGGACAAAGTCACAGATGCCCATGGTCGCGCAACAGCCATGTTGCCACAGGCCACCAGCATCCGACTCTCTGTTCTTGCCAGTCCTTGTGCTAATGCTTGTGTTGCGAGGAGAAGGTACGGCCCCATCAATATGCCAGCAAGAAGGCATGCAACCGACATCATTGCTTCAGGTTGCTTGCGCTAGCTTGCATTTCTCAGGGCTATGTCGTCTCTGTTCAAGATCCTGAGAGCGGCGAGATCCTCCTAACTGATTTGCCAAGAACTCAGAGAGGCAATTTCAGGAATGACAACGCCGTTGTTTGGCCATAATCTTCTTTCCGAGTGTGCACGAAACGACAGCATGCCTGAGGCTGCGCCTTGGCCGGATGCCCCCGCGAGTCGAGTCTGCCAGCTAGCGGCTCAGCCCTTCAGACTTTGCTCCGCGCAGCTCCAACACGTCTGGGTGGTCACAGAGGCGCTGCCATGGCCGGTGCAATGCGGGTCTCGATTGCCACCGACCGTGCTGTGTATGCAAGGTGCCAAGATGTCCCAAGCTTCATCAGTGATGGGGTGTGAGGGCATGACATGTTCAGAGGTCCGGTCTTGATTGCCGGATGTGTGTGTGTGTGTGTGTGCACGTACCCTTCTGGTTTTGTGGTTGGAGCATCATCCGGCGTGTTTGAGGCTTGGCTGCTGTAGCACGCTTCCGGACTAAGTTTCGGACAAAGGAATAAGTCAGGCTTAGGCATTGGGATGGGAATGTCGAGTGACGTCTTGTGGTTCGAAGTGGCACTCAAGTGTGCCCCGGTGGTTGTGTGTGTGCGAGAGAGAGAGAGAGAGAGAGCCTGTTGGCTGCCATTCGCTGACCAATACCCTGGCTACACAAGGTTGGTGGGATTCGGCTTCGTCTAAATTCCCCCCCCCCCCCGGTTTCTTGTTTTTATTTATTGTATTCATTCCTCGAAAATTAAAGAAGTGGAGAATTGATAGAGAATTCGAGTATAATCCAAATGACAACAAAGTCCCTTCTGACGCAATCAAAAAGCGGGGGGTTGGGGGGGCGCAGCCCTCCCCAATTTGCTCAGATTGCCCTATAGTCCTACACTGTCCGTCTGCTAGATAGAATGAGTAGAGAAGTAGAGAATTAGTCTAAATCCCACCCCCCTCGTTTCTTGTCTTTGTTGCTTGTACTCATTCTTCGAACACTAGAGAAGTAGAGAATTGATAGAGCACTCGAGTATATATATATATATATCTCCAAATGACAACAAAGTCGTTTCTGACGTAACCAAAGAGCGGGGGGGTAGGGGGGGGGGCGCAGAGCCCCCCCCCCATTTGCTCAGATTGCCTTTTTTAGTCTGCTGAAATAGAATGAGTAGAGAAGTAGAGCATTCGTGTAAATTCCACCCCCCCGTTTCTTGTTTTTGTTTCTTGTATTCATTGACAACAATTAGAGAAGTGGAGAATTGATAGAGAATTCGAGTATAATCCAAATGACAACAAAGTCCTTTCTGAGGTAATCAAAAAGCGGGGGGGTTGGGGGGGGCGCAGCCCCCCCCATTTGCTCAGATTGCCCTATGATCCTACACTGTCGGTCTGCTGGGATAGAATGAGTAGAGAAAGAAGTAGAGAATTGGTCTAAGTTCCACCCCCCTCGTTTCTTGTTTTTGTTTCTTGTACTCATTCTTCGAACATCAGAGAAGTAGAGAATTGATAGAGAATTACAGGATAATCCAAATCACAACAAAGTTCTTTCGGACGTAATCGCAAAGCTGGTCGACGTCGTGGGGTTGGTTTCAGGCTTCGGGTTTACGATTTTGGGTTTAGGGTTCGAGTTTCGGGTGGGTCTAGGTTTAGGCTTGAGGGTAGGTTTGAAAATTCGGCTTACACAAAGAGTGCCTTTCTGTCCTCTCCACGTCTTTCAAGTCTATGTCTTTCAAGTCTGAAAAGGGGTGGGGATTGTCTTGCGGGAGTATGAGGCGGGGTTTGTCTTTCGCGAGTATGAGGGGGGGGTCAGTCCTTCAGCGAGTATGAGGGGCGGGGGGGGGGGGGGGGGTTAGTCCTTCTGGGAGTAAAGGGGGGGGGGGGGTTTGTAGTTCTCCCCCCCCCCCCCCCGCCCCAACACCTGTCACCCCCCCCCCCCCCCCCCCCCCCCCCATAACTCCCTGGAGAACTAACTAACCCCCCCCCCCCCATACTCCCTGGAGGACTAACCCCCCCACCCCGTGCCTAACGGCGCGGTCTCGCGACTCCCTGCATCCTGAGCATTACAACCTTGAACCATCTTGAACCATCGTGGCATTGCTGAACAAACTTGACTTGAAGAATGGTCTCATTATGGTCTCCTATTCAACAGAGATATATGTAGTCGAGGCATAGCGAAACAGATCAACTTCCAAAGGCACCTGGAGATTCCATTGCCGTGCTGGGAGTTGTCGCCGCAGTCGGTACGATCTGTCCCGGAGGAAAACCAGGCGAAACTTCCGAAAAGTTTGTGAAGCCATCGGCGTTCGGGGTCTTTGCAGATGGTATGAGCATGAAACCATTCCGCACACCATCATATCATGGCCTGCCTTTGCCAGGCAACATGTGTGCGCCGTCGGCTGTGCATTTTGAGCCGACAGCGCCGCACCAAGTTCTGTAACTACGCGCCTCGAACCCCATTCTGCATTGGCCAGACTTGCCATGCCGTGCTTAGCCACGAGAAGTAGCATGTCATTGCCATTGCACGCTGTTTCATTTGCGGAGCTTCTGCTTGCTCGGTAATGCAGATGGTTTACGGCGAGAAGACCTTGTCGGTAAGAAACACATGTCCCTCGTTAGGCAGATAGGCAGAAAAACAGACAAAGGGAGAGAGAGTGCAACCACAACAAACACGTAGTTTTGTCATTTGAAGTTGCATTCGTGTGTTCAGGACACCTTATAGCTAACTTCCTTGCAGCTTCTTCACAGACACCGGCATGCAACTAGCAGACCCAACCGCCACAACTACAACAACCGCAAGTCAACTTTGCGCAGTACACCAGTCTCCTGAAGGTTGCAACAAGCATAGCCACAAGACCAGCAAATCGGGCAGAGCCCATGTCATGAGCAGTCTCCCCGGGAGCCGCTTTTGGCCATGACAGCTGCAATGACGCCGGAGGCAGGGGAATGTTGGAGCGCTCATGTTACTGAGACAAAACCACATACGATGACCGAATCTTGCTCGAGCATGCTGGGCGCACGTACAGGTGTGGGATCAGCTGAAGCATCTTCGAGAGGACAGGGAGAAGCTTAAGGAGGCTCGGGCCGATCCTTGTTGAGCTTCCAGTTGCAGCCGGGCGAAGGCCGAAGATCCAGCCACAACTTTCAGAAATGGCAATCGACTACGGTAGTCTTTCCGAGAATCGAAAACCTCGGTCTTCGCAAGATTTTTTTTACAAAGACGGAATCCCTGAGTACTCGAGTCGCCGGAGATGCTCAGAGTCCACATCATGGCAGGATATGCTGAAGGCATCAGTGAGCGGCACAAAGTACTTGCTTGACAGGCAGCTGAGAGTGCACTGCAAGATGGAGACGAGGGTGGCTTCGAGTTTCAGAACATGCTCGCCTCTGAAATCACCGCATCTTGGTTCTTTCAGCTAGATGTTTGGTTGGTAGTGTCATTCTTGGAGCAGCCTCAGCAGTCAAGAAGTACTTCGAGGAAAAGATCGAAGAGCTCGAAGGCAAGTATGGCACCCAGCCGCCCCTGCCGGGAGCCAGGAACGAGCCTTCGCAGGCTCAGCTGCACAAAGGGCATCCATGATATAGCACTGATCTGGTCAGTTCTCTAAATTATGGTCCCTTGTTGGGTACCCTAGATAAGCGGGGCCGCCTTATAATCAGGACGACCATATTTTAGAGAAGTGACCATATAGTCTTTGCTTGGAGCTTGCAATTGTAGTGACGCGGGGGAGAGCAAGATGGCAAGATGAGCCGTCATAATGGGGATTTCCGAAACTGTGGTACCCTTTTTGGGATATAAACGGGGTACTCCTATTTTGGAAGTACCCCATATGAGGGCAAAGGTGATTCTTCGTTTTGCCGGGTTCGGCGATGCAAGTCTGACCCGGGGATCGAGAGTCGGCGGCATGAAAGCATGATTGGCACAGATACGTATTGCAGCTATGTTGTTTTTATTTGGTCGTATTCGGTCGCAAATTTGTTTGGTTGTTTGATGAGAGCATTTTTTTTGTGAGTATGTGTGTGTGTGTGTGTCTCTATCTGGGTCTGTGTCTGCGTCTGTGTGTGGTTCCTTCTTTGATTTCGACAAAATTGCGATTTCGACAAACTTTCGCTGCAGGCAGGCAAGTTGCCGTTGCCACCCCCGCCGCCGGCGTGACCGGGCCGAATTTGTCATGTACTGTCAGCCATCAGATCTGGTGCCGGAAGCCAGGGCAACGTGCTAGAGAGCGTTGCCTAGGCCACTGGCGCTGGCCAAGTTGCCGAGCATGCCACCACTGCCAGGCACCTTCCTCATCAGCTTGTTGATTTTGTGGAGGTTGACTGATTCGCTGGATTTCTTGCAGGACGCAGTTTACATGAGAATGGTATGGAGAGATGTGGAGAGGAGATTGACCGGCTTTGAAGAGGCTAAACAATCCCATAGCCCAGGTGTGGCTCTCCCGGGCATCCCAGCAGGAGTGGCGGCGAATCTCCCTCCAGGCCCGTGCTGAGAGAAAAATGATTGGTGCATCTGGTTTCTGGGTTGTTACCTCAGGCCCTTAAACCCATCCATGTCCTAGTCTCCTTTTAGCACAGCGATTGAAGGAGGGTACTGGCTTCTGCAAGAAGATGCAAGGAATCGCCGCCAACATCCCACCGGGTGTCGCAAGCGCCCTGGGCAAGATGCCTCCCGTGCCGGGAGCTCCCCCAGTGCCAGGCAAAGGAGGGAGGGAGCTGTGGGAGCCTGGTCTATATAGGTTCACATGAGACAATATTGCAAGAACATCAACTAGCCAGGTTCCTGTCAGACAAGCATGTGAGGCTTGGCCCCGGGCTTTGCTGGGGTGCGGCCACCGCCCATTCCGTTACCTCCTGGCGTAATGCCGCCGATGCTCGCCAGCAAAAGAGTGTTCATTGACATGAAGCGCCAGCAGCGTATGACCAAAAGAAAGTATCTACGCTTCGTCCGCCCCGAGGTTCAACAGTAAAAATCCCCTGAGCTCGCTTTGCTTGGTGCAACCGTTATCAACGCATTGGTCGAACTCCTTCAACAAAAGCAGTGCTACTGCACGTGCTTCTGCGCTTCCTGACTCAGTGTCCTGAAAGGTTCCTGGGTCAGCCCGTGAGTTTGACGCAGCAGCAGGCCATGGAGCCCACGCCCCAGCAAAGGGCTAGAAAGCATCCCTCCATCCGTGTCCTCTTCTCCGTGGCTTCGGTGCTGTGTGATTTGGCGGCGGGCAGCCGGAATTAAGGTATGAAGAGATAAAGGCTCGAGACACAGCCACTTGGCAGACTGATGTCAGGTGTTGTGACTGTTGCGGTAGCCTCGTAGTGTGGACTTGCCAACCAAGGGCAGCTTAAACTGGACATAACCCTGAAGCGCTTGTAGACACAATTCCGCCTCTCCCATGCGATATGCACCAATTCTGACATGAGATGAGATCACGAGCACCAAAATCCAAAGCTCGGTGCTTGGAAGTGATCGTCATTTCATATTTGTCATGCGCTTTCCGAGGCGCTGGAGCCGGAGGTCATCGAGTTAGTTCACTACTTCAAGATCTCAGATCGACATGCTCGGATGCTCAACGAGCAGCTCAAGCCACTCGGCTCCCGCTGTAGTCACTCTCTGTACTGTAGTTGCTATTATTGTTGCTACCACTCCTACCCAGCTCCTACCCGTTTCAATGTCGGATAGTGAACATCTGAGGCGCCGAAACAACACCTACGAGGAGGACATCGCATCCCTGTACGAGATCTTGAAAGGCGCCAAGAATCCAGGAGGGGGCCCGCCAGCACAATGCAGCACATGTCCGCATGTGTTCGTGTTTATAAGTTTATACTTCGTGCTCATCAGCCTCAATTGTAAAAACAATCCGGGGGCATGATGTGAGCTTGCCTTCGCCTAGTCTTGACCATTCCTGACCCGATGGTTTGTGCATGCGAGCGCTGACAGCGTCATCAAGTGCAGCATCAGTCTTTTCCGGTTTTGTCCAATCTGCTTGATATGATTATAACCGTCAATATTTACTTATTTCTTATTGTTACTTGGGTGGTGTTCTTGCCGTCCTGGCCGTTTTTGGAGGTATCGTATCTTTTGGTTCTTGCTCTCGCATATTTTGACAATGGAAGAAGACATGGGTTTACCGGTTTACCTATCAATATCGAGGATTGCCCACCAAAAGATGGAGGCAAAAGCAAGGTTACGCACGCGGCCCGCTTCGCCTGGGCTGCGAGCCTGGGCCGTGCATGCCATTCTAAAGAAGTCTGCAGAGACGAGGAAACGCGAGGCAACGTTGCGTGTTCGATGGTGCAGAAGATGCACTGAAAGTTACAGATGCGCGTCGCATGGGGAGATAGCGGAAGAAGCAGAGACGAGTAGTTTTGCGAGAAGCCTTGCTGCAAGATAGCAAGTTTGTTGCGGTCTTGCGAAGATTGTGACGTGCCGCTCGCACGCGTCTGTTTACCCATCGGCATCCATCGGCTAGAAATTCCATGGGCCGAGCTCTATGCGGGTCCGTAGGAGGTCCACGCGAGGTCGGTCCGATTGGATCCGGCGCCAGTTTTCAGTGGCCCAGACTGGGGCTCCAGGAGGTCTGGAACGATCACAGTGTTTCTGACGGTTTCTACAGGCGTTCAGATACGGGGTCCATGGTTTGGGGTCCATATGGGTGGAGCAGTCAAATCTGTTGAGGTGTCCATCGTGGGCAATAGCCCCCAAACTATCCCAAACCCCTCACTTCCGAGAGTCCATACACGTAGCGATCCAAGAAGACCCATGAAGATGTTGTGGAATGCTGATTTTGGGCAGTCCATCCCCTACGGTCGGCCCCTACAGCCCTCTGCTCGTGGCTAACCGTGCGCGTGCGGATGCCGGAGTACGCATACCAGGTTCATAAGCGGGTGCCGAAATGTGAGAATAGGGCTGCACATACCATCTTGTCTACATCTTCCTATATGGCGCAAGGAATGCTTCCATTTCCTCATCTTTGCCAGGAAACCTTGATTTCCTCCAGATTCCTCCAGATTTGAAATTTCGCAAGCCTTTACATCCTCTAATATATCCTATGGTTTCCCATGTGAAGGAGATCTGCTGATGGCCACAGCCCCAAATGGCAGCAATGAATGCATGTGCGGAACGCCGCCCTGTACTGCTTTGCATGCTTTGCATGCTTTGCATGCCGCTTTCAAGGTCTCGATCCGATGGATGGAGCGCGGCGTGTTCCGAGGCACACTGACGCCAAACCCGGCGGTAGAAAAGGCCTGGAGTGCCACTGGAGTGCCATGGGGGACGGTTCTTTTGGAGCTTGACGTGTAGGAGTCTAGAGTCTAGTGTCTAGACTCGACATTCCAGGCAGCCAAAAAGTACAAGCTGGATGCGCCTTCGGCGTGCAAGTTGGCGGAGGTGCTCGAGAGCCGCGAAGATCCAGACGCCGATCTCAGGCGCGACTCCCTAGGAGAACAGCTGGGCTCCGAAACTTGCACATCTTGCACTATCAAGCACTATCAAAAGAATGCGTTTTAGATGCCATTTTAGCGCTTGAAGTCCCAGCGACCTCGGACACCTGGGCAAAGAGTGTCATGATCGAAGATGTCACATGAGGAGCCCAGTCCTGGTAGATCAACAAATTGTATGGTGACGAGACGAGGACTGAGGACTGAGGGGTGCTGTGCCGACAAAAAAACTGATCTGAGTCGTCAATGCAACGGCCATCGCCCATCCGAACGAAAGCGTCTGCTCCTGGCACGAAGAAGCGGCGACAACAAGTGCCAACGACAGGGTTCGCCGGCGAGAAAAGACCTGACAAAGACCTGTGGAGGGAAGTTGGCGAGACCGATGCGATGAGACGTACGTTGTATGTTCAGGAGGCACTATATGGGCAGACAGGGCAATTGCTACTTAATCCCAGCTTGTGATGTATTTCGGGGCGCTTGTGAGAAGCTTGTTTCTGCTTGGTCGGGAGGATGTCGGCAAGAAGTAGCGGGATGGCGGGTCACTGCCTGTGCAGTACATACATGTTGCAGCTGGTTAATGAACCTAACACAGAAGAACATCCTTGCACCCCAGCTCACGGCTTCCACATGTCAATATCTCTGTTGGGCTTGTGGTTCTGTCACCATGGAGCCTGTATAAAAGGACTTGCTGAGCTCCACGAACGAGCGCTTGCAAAGGACATTCTAGGAAACCTTGAGCCGCCAACCCGACCCTCTGAGACTTGTGCCGTAGCATGTGTGCTGCTACTTGTGGATCGGGCAAGTCTGCGAATGCACCTCCACCTGTGCGTAGTATCGCGTTGCTGTTTAGTGCTGCCCCACATCCTGCTTGTGCTCTGAACAGCCGGCCCGTGGCAAAGGAAGATCAGTGACCACTTGGCAGCCTCCAACAAGCCCTCCTCACTGGCTGCGAGCTCAGTCCCACACCATGACACCCCGGAAGAAGCCGCACGGTTGCATCTTCGTCCTTCCACAATCAGGTTATGCAGATGCTGCGGGACATCAAGGCTGGCAAGCCTGTAGAGGCGTGCACCCGTGCCCCTGCCATCGGAAGCTACCTCCACAAGAAGGCTGGGCGACACGATGTCATTTGGGCTTCTCATGGCTGCGCCATGACTCGCCGCTCTATATGGTATCGTGGATGCCTGCAGGAGACGGCGACCAAGCAGAACTCCAAGGGTGGCCGAAGTAGGCTTGGCGGTTTGCGGGTGCCGTTGCAGTAGCTGCCATCATGAATGAAGGCTATGCAGCGACTGTGCGCTAGTGTAAGCCACGTCTGTGTGGACATCTGCAGACTAGGACGCCGCACCGGCGCAGCCCCAGCCGCGAGAGGAGGCACCGCAGCCGGGAGCGGCCGCGTGGCCGAAGCCGCTTGGCAGTGAACAAATTTTGGTCTCCGGCCCCGCACATGAGAAGCTGCCTCATCCTTCATCTTCCGAGGTCGGAGCCGTGGAGGTGGCCGTGGCGCTGACGGGCGCGATGGGCGCGCCCGCGGCGACCGAGGAGAAGCCGAAAATGGCCGCGGCCGTCAGCGACACTCGGCGAGGAACCTGCTTTCAGGATCTCCAGCTCGCAGGCACCCGTGGAGTCTATGATGCACTACAATTCCGACTGCACGAATTCGATCACCTTGGCACTGTGCCTTCGTTACAGGCCTTACTAGCTTCGTTTGAAAGGCACGTCCCATACGTCCCCGAACAGAGAAACAAAAAAGAATGGCAGGATAATTACAACAAAAATCGACGGAGAGAGAGAGAGAGAGAGAGACAGGCGTGTGTCCACACGACATACCGTGAAAGCCGCTCCGCAATGCTGGGGCGCGCGCATCGCGCGAGGGCCCCGTGCCCTCATGCCCCCAAGAAAGAAAGAGAGAGACGCTTTTGTCCCAAGTGGCGCATGGTGGTATCATTGGCGTCACTTAGGAAGCAGGAGCCGGACGGACCGGCGTGGGAGTCGGCGCCACCGCCTCAGTCAGTCGACAGTGTTTGAGGGATGTGTTGGTCTGCAGTTGCAGCGAAGATGAGGTAAATGGCGGTTCATGAGGACTTGGAAGGTTTAAAATTAGAGGATTTTCTAGGCTCGGCTCTGCAGAAGATGCTGGACAATGCCTGTGATGCCTGTGCGCGTAACTCTTTCATACCCAGGTGAAGAACGAGTGGCTGAAGAGCACCCAGGCCGTGGCGCACACATTGTTACCTGCAATGCTTTACGGTATAATGTTGCAGTGATTCTGCTGCACAGGTGAGGCGGCGTGACTTTACCATGAGCGAAGCCTGGGCCTGTTGGTAACGTAGGGCTTGAGCCAGCGCACGGTAGTAGAGGAAATAGTTCGTACCAATAGCAAGAACGCAAATTTATCTTGGATCGTACAGCCTAGGGTATGCTCTGGTGTTTGTACAAATCGGTCGCGGCCACGGCCGCTGTTCTGTGCCATGTTGTCGGACTTCCCTGTTTTGGGGCGATTTGGGATCCAGGGTATCAGGGTGTTGGGCCACTTTTGGTTTTTCACGGGGCATCTCCGGGTAAACCAGACAGTCGGAAACGCAAGCCTTACTTCTATCATCACTACTTCTGAAGTCGACCCTTTTTCGGCGTTTCCGGGCCTTTTCCACTCTCTAGGAACTCCAGCCTTTCAAAAGCATGTTTGAAGAAAGCCAAGAACATCTTGTTGAGGCGGGCGCCCGATAGTCTTTAAATTATGGTCTTTAATGGTTCCTGGAAACCCGAGCTGGGCCGATGGGGGCGGAAATTCTCTCTCTCTCTCTCTCTCTCTCTTCCTCCCTCCCTCCCTCCCTGTCCCTCCAGCTCTTTCGATGTATCCACACACCCACACACACACGCATTGATGCTGAAATGCAGTGTCATTTTACATTCTCAGGGCCACGTTCCATGCCGAGTCTCGTGCAGATTGCGATAAGAAGGCAACAGATGTATGCAGGTGCTAGGTGGCCATTTAGGCAGGCAAACTCGCTGCCAGCAATTCGACCATGGATGCAGCCGAAAAAAATGTGGCGCCCGCTCCAGCGTGCACCTCCGTGGGGGGTTAAGCTACGGCACGTGACAGTCAGCGGTAGCATGTTCTTCGTCGCATGCATAAGGCCTTTCTAGCTGCGGAAATCATCTGGAAGCGGAGATCTTATACACGAGACCGGAGGGAAGAAACGAGGAGTGCTATTGCAGTCTGCCATCAATCATCCGCTGTCCGACGGCCACAATTCTTGAGGTTTTCTCGTGGCCCTCACCAAGACGAGGTTTGCACTATGCACCTGTGGACCTGAACTCAGCTTCTTTGCGGTTGACTGATAAATACTACTTGTGATACAAGATTCCAACCGATCATCGGCACACCAATACCGGCGTTCCAAGGGGACGACAGCGACAACAGCAGCAGCAGCAGCAGCAGCAACAACAACAACAACAACAACAACAACAACAACAACAACAACAACAACAGCTCTGCACTTTGCGAGGACGGACCAAGGTGTGGCTGCCGAATCTCGCAGTCAAGCCCACGCCTATGTTGCGCCTAGGCAAGTGCCACCTCAACCTAATCCTTTTGATTTCAAGCGGCAGCACCCCACGGTGTTCTACACTGTTTGGGGCAGAATCCGGGTTCATCGTCCTTGCAGCAGCATAATGACAACGGCATCGGATTATGCAAGGAGCTACCCCAAGCGTCTGGGACAGCCTTGGAAAGCAAAAAGTAAGCTTGGCTCCACAACATGTTACATACAAACTGTGCAGAAAGTGGCCCTAATGGACAAGCAGCTGCAATGTCTTGTAGGGGCCTTGGCCAAAAAGTGTCAGGAAAGCAGCAGGGTGCTGTAAAAATCTTTAACAGTAATTGCACAAGATATACAACATGGTACAGGTACAGCTTTTGAGGGACTCGCATCCTTCCCCAAGGCCCGTGTCCGCATTGGGTATGTTTAGCGCCAACATCTCTGTGCTGGTGTCTCAGCGGTGTGACGGCACCAGGAATGTCTGTCTTCCATTTGGAAACCTAAAATTGCTCATGTTCTCGCGCGAGCTGAGGCCAGGGAATGCGTCATTTGGTGCCCGGGCTGCACCAGAGTGGGGCCTTACGGGTCATTCGGGGTCTCAATTCAACTCAATTCAAGCGTCGTGGCGCAAAAGCTGACACTTGCAATCGCGCTTCGTGTGCATGGCGTTCGGTGTGGCAGGCCCTGTCCCATCCTTGAGTCTTTTCTGGGCGCGGGAGCCACTTCCTCAGGCCTTGGCACGCTGTGAGACGCAAGGAAGAAGAATCCAACCGAGAAAGTTGCGGAAAATTGGTAGGTGCTGAACAGCTGCCTTGCCCTTGGAGAAGTTTGGACGGGGCTTGGGACCACTTGCAGTCACAAAAGCCTCCTCAAATCACCATTTGTCACCGGAGTTGCTGATTCCACTAGGGTGCCTAAGGCCAGGAGTGGAGGCAGCACCGCATCCGGCATCGGGATCCGGCGCTGCAGTCCACCGCCTTTGCCACCGCCTTGAACAGTCAGAAAACCCAAGCTTAAGCTGTAGACTTTGCTGACTCGTATAAGTACCAGATCAGAGCAAGTGTTGCAGAGCCCCATGATCCCTGCCACAGTGGTGAACTGCTCTTCGAAATCAAGGCATGCAGTACCAGGACAACTCATCAGGCAGCTTGAGTGGCTTGAGCCCAGGATATCCTCGTGGCGGATCCTCGCCCGCCAACTGAGCGAGCCTCAGGGCCTTCTGCATTTGCACTCTGTAGGCCACTGTAGGCCTATTGAACTCTCGCGCTGCGTCCCGTCAATCCATTGCATTCCCTTGCCTTCCCTCGCTGTCTCCCGTCACTTTGTTAGGCACCCCAGTCGAACTTGACATCATCTATGTCGTGATTTAGAAATGAGTACCAGCCAAGAATGTGACGCCCGTGCGCCGTTACACAGTGTCTAGTCAGAGCATGTCAGAGCCTGCATGGCTACGGCGCAGCTCCTCGAGCGACCTTCCGGTGGATCTTCCGCCCCGGCTGGCGCCCACCATCTTGAACATCGTTTCTCTCACCCGTGCCGCAGTGGGGACCGCGATGTCATCGCGTGGAGTAGGAAAGTATGGGGACTTATAAATCAGCTTTCAAGCTGCGACGGTTTCGAAGATGTAGACATTGAGACCAAAGACACGCAGGCACATCATGTGCCATCAGAGGCTGGTGAAGATGCCTGGAGCTCCCACGCAGAGACGGAGGCTTTGCTGAGATGGCGAGACATTAGCCCGTGGCACCCAGGCAACGAAAAGGTACCAGTGGCAGAGAACGCAGTCTGCAGCGATCCTCACGGCCATTGCACAAGAAGGCTTTTGGAACAACTGTCTGGCAGGCGATCACTTCTGGGGAATGGTGCCAGTTCTGACAGTCATGAGGCAGCTTCTAGCATTCCAGAAGAATCCAAACTCAGCGCGCAGGACGTGGTGGTCACAGTCCTACTTCATGATTGCAAGGGTGTTAAGGAGCAGGAACATGATATACTGGCCAGCCAGACATTGGAAGACTTGAGGGATGCATTCTATTTTGTTGGTGACCTGATGTACGACGGACCAACAAGGCTTGCGTCTGCGTGTATGTTTATTGATGGCGTGTTTTATGTTGATAAGCGGCAAGCATCGGCTGGTGGATATGTGGATTATTCCGTGGAGCTGATTGAGTGGCTGCAAACGCTGAACTTCCCTCTGCGCGATGCGAAATCTCGGTCAATGTCTATCCGAATCTGTGACCTGGAGGCCATTCCTTTTGGAGAACCATGCTGCTTCATTAGACAGGGTGACATCGAACACCATATGTATTTCACTGGTGCCAGGCTCATCAACCAAAAGGTAGATTGCCCTCTCCGCGAGGGCTATCCCTGCTTAATTTGGATGCGGAAGTATCACCGCCGACGCTGTGTTGCCTGTCTTTTGAACTTCGCATCGTGGGTGGTACTTGACTCATCGCGCTGCCCGTTCAATCCAGCTCATTTCTGCACATTCTGCTTCAATCACTTCTCTGAAAAAAGAGATGGAACTTATCTGCTACCTGCGGATTACAAGGCGTTTCCATATTTGCACGACGAAGGTTGATGTGTGACCTTTGTTCTGCCGAGCGCTGACGAACGGGAGAACTCACGACTTCTCAGCACCATGCATTGCAGACATCAGCCGGCAATTCGCTTCAGGAGTCTGCCAGGGGGCCAGGGCCAGGAGTGTTGGCAACCGTTGCGAGCCACAAGTGAACTCTTTGCTGGTCTCTGCTGTGAACATGGCTTGCCTTCACAGAAAACAAGGGCTGCAGGAAAGTACGGGAAGCACAAATAAGCACCAACAGCATTTCTAGCATACGTATATGCAATGCCGCTGCTGCAGTACCGTTTTTAAGCACATGGCATCACGTGACCCTTAATTCGTTTCTGCGCCAGCTGCTCTCTCAGGGGAGCTGGCCTAGCTTATGTGCAAACGCTCGTTGGATGCGCCTCCCTACACTCCGAATCCCAGAACAGCGTAAAATCGCTCGATTCGGAGTGCAGAAGCGTGTCTCAGCAGCGTCTTGGGTCTTGAGCTGATCTGATGACATTTCTCAGGCCACCATCCAGTTCAAGCATTTGCCGGCGTTCTTGCGACCTGACCAGCCCTTGACAATTGCCGTCTTGCCTTGCACTCGGCGCATCAACTCGCATGCGCTGCTGCAGCACTTGTGAATCGAGATCCTTCCCAAGGCTCGAAACTTACACCGGCATTCCTCTGCAGAACCATGAGCTGAAGGCAAGCATCCATGCACGCCTTTGCGCGCCTTTACGCATGGATGTGCAAGCAAAGCTAAGGGAAGCCCAGACGGTGAGAAGGTGAGCTTAACATACGTCACGTTCGGTCCAGGTCCAGATTTCTAGAAGAGTGCAGGACCAGTGGCAGCCTTAGCCGCGCGGCTTTGCCAGTAAGATGGGGGCAGGAGGTCCGGCTCCACCAGGCCGTGCTGCAGCGCTTCAGTATATATCTCACAACACGCACCCATGCACTCACAGCATCAGGTTCGGTAAAATCCGTGGTAGACCGGGGCGTGAGACAAGACTGAGGCAGCCACGGATGGCACCGCTCCCTGTCCTGGAAATGTCGGAGCCCGAGGCCTCCGAATGCTCACAGCTATGACTGCATAGCGCTGTTAGTTTGCCACGCCATGCCACGGCGAACAAGCGACAAGAAGCGAATGGATGGATGAATACCGATGCTTTGTGGCAGATGCTGTGGGCAGGATCCAGGACTTCAAGGGCAAGCCAAAAGCGCCGAGCTGGGCAGATCGACCAATGCGTCCGGCATGTGGTCGCAGGACTTCGTGATTGCCATAGGTAAGTTCATGAATGGCCCAGTCTATCCCAGTCTCCGGTGAAGTTGATGGGGGTCAGTCAGAGCCCTTGAACAGGCAGTGATGTTTGGCAAACAGAGTGCGGTTCCAAGCAAGTACACCCAAGATCACCTGAGTGGATTGACTAATTATAGGCTTTGCCTGACTGATCTTGAATTCGGAGCCTGTGCATAGGTGAGGTAGCTTGGAAGCCGAAGTTGGGGGATGAACTGACCGTCAAGGCAGGACCGACTTCTTTGTCTTTTTCTTAGTCTTAATCCCGTGGGTTGGCACAGTATGTGCAGAGAAAAGCCATGACTTGCAATCAGGTCTCCGCACGTGGGCCGACTGGAGAACTTCTGACCCAGTGCCCGCTCTCAGCGAGCGAATGGCACCAGAGTGTCACAACCAACTGCTTGAATATTTTTTGCAGGCTTGTATCTAAACAGCATATACAGACTGCTGTCCACTGCCATTTGGGCACAAGGTCAGAGAAGATCCCGGTCCGCTTGAGCCCATATGAGGTGGAAGTCAGGAGAAAGTCTTTCGTGGGCAGTTGTTTGGAGTTTGTTTATGCATCTTGAGCAAACTGAACCAGAGTATTGACTCCAATTGCAGCAGGACATCTGCAGATCTTGCAGGCGTTCATGGAACCCTGCCAGGCAGGACATCAACATGGGCCGCTGTCTTTCCACTCTCCGATCTACACTTGGGCACTAAGTGGGCAGACGGGAGCAGAGGAGGGCGGCGGGAGGGCCCGGGAGGGCCGACACGTACAGAAGAATGTGTGTGCTACAACGGCTGAACAAATTTGAGTTGCGGGCCCTGATGGAATCAGAATCGTTATCTTTTCATCCATGGCCCCCTCTATGGGCCCCTCAACCTTCAACTTGAGCTCAGCACCCTTAGGATGGCCCCGGAGGGGCCGAAATGGTTTTATGGGGAAACAGCTCTCCAAGCATGGCCAGAAAGTTAGGAATATCGAAAATCCACGTTACGGAGTTGCAACATGCCAAGCTTCTTTTGTCGCAACGGCCCTCTTGGAGTGCAGGACAAGACTTCACAGTTTGGGTGGAGCTAAAGGATCTCGCCTCAGTTTGGGCAAAGTGCCTGACGAGATGACCAGCAAGTGTTGAGGCCGAGTTCCCTGACGAGAGTTGGGACATCTCAACTGGCCCAGACGTTCGAGACTTGAGCACAGATGCCAACTGAGCGTGTTAGAGAGTCACGATGAAGATGGCCATTCGTTAGGCTGCCAAAGTCTTTATGATTCCCTTTCCCGTGGATGATGAACCGGGCGCGTTTGGCTGCTTGACTGCGCTTATCGTGCCAAGAATGCTTGCACAGCATGCTGCTGTTGCACATCGGAGTGCTTTCCAATGTGAGGGTCGTAGTACTCCATCGAAGCTGGGGGGGGGGGGGGGGGGGTGTACAGTTTAGATCCAAGACCATTGTAATGTTTTGAATCATGAACGACCCCTTCCCTTAAACTACCGTACCTACTATGAACAGGGAAGTGGTGGTTTACGAGTTCACGGGAGGGCTGTTGCTCGCCTTTCCGGTTCGAAGTTTCAGAATATCCCGTTTTGTTTCTAATGGTCAGACGTCAGCATGTTGCACCAATTTGAGCGTCCATTCCAAGGCCAGGGCTCTGAACCCTACACTTTCTCTATCTGAATATATGCTTAATTATGTATATATATATATACTTGTAGAGATAGAGATGTGTGTACTTGTTGGCGCCACAAATGCACTTGCACAGATTATCTTGTGTCAGGAGGAGGCCAGCAGCAAGGCAGCTGCATGGTGGCCTGCTGCGCGCTTGCTGCGGATACACCCGGTGGCGTTTAGGGTTTAGGGTTTAGGGTTTAGGGTTTAGGGTTTAGGGGTGGTTCACACCTCCAAGATCTTCCAAGAGAAAGCAGCGCATTCCGGCCAGGACTGGGTGCACACTCAGGCGAGGAAGCAAGCTGGATCCTCACGTGCTCTCAGGGTAAAGCTTTGCAAGTTCCACTGCAAGAATGTACTGCAAGGACATTTGAGGACCCCCTCGAAATCGTGCCTATTTCCGGTACCTACTTTGGGGGTGGGGGGGGGGGGGGAGAAAAATAGGTACCAGAGACTCTGTTGCACTTGTTCATTATTAAGTAACTTCTCTCACTTGGATACTCCCTCCCCCCCTGGAATTTTACAACAGCCTACAGCTCCAAAGCCCCAGAAATGGGTGCTGGGGGGGGGGGCAAACACAACCCCGCCCCCCCCCCCCCCCCCCTGTCAGGCACCGTCCCAGGGTGTTGCTTGTCCCTGAATGTATCTCAGCCCTGTGGGCTTTTTTTGTAGCTTAAACGGGTGCTGGTACTTATTGCCCCCTCCCCCACTCCGGGGGCCACGTCCAGGCACGAACTTCGTCCATGCGCTTCAGAAACATCCGAAGATGATTTCCCGAGGCCTTGACCCCCGACAGCTTTGTGGATGAAAGGCCTGGACATGCCACTTGCCAGGGCTGCCAGGGAGTCTCAAGCGCAACGTGCGGCTTTGAGTTCTGACTGCCTCACTTAGGCATGCGACCGGCAAACTTTGCTCCAAAAGCTTCAAGGATAGAGCTGGGTGGCAAGAGCGTGGCGCTTGAAGCCATGGAGGAAATGGAAGAGGAGCAGCTTATGGATGGCGAGGACGGAGGGGTTGAGACGAGTGAGGGCGTAAGTCTTACCGCCCGCCCGCCTTGGTCGACTCGATGTCTGGCTTTGGTTGCGCTTCTTGTGGCCTTGCCTGCGGCTGCCCTTTGCCTTTCCAGCACTAGACCGTGGCATGCACGAACCGACACAACCCAGCCGCTGTCGCTTTATTCGTCGGCTGAGTGCCTGGCGTGCGGCCAAAGTGACGCTCTGCATTGTGGACGGCAGCTCAGTGGGCATCACGTGCAGGAGGACGACAAGCGTGCCAACAGGTCCCAGGCTCAAGAAGAGCCCGAGGCTTTCAGATCTTTCAGTTGCAACGACGGCTGCATGATCTGGATGGGTAATGTGAACGATGATGTTTGCCACTGCCCCCACTGCGAAGATGAGGAGATGTGGAGTTGCGAGACTTGTGGAAGCGAGCTTCGTGGCTTAGGGGGCTATGACGATGAATACCCCCTAATGCACCATCACTACGCACGCGACGTGGGGCTTGGAGTTGGCATTGGCCTCTCCTCAGCCTTCGCCTTGGGTTTCGGCCTGGCCTTCGGCTTGGACTCTCAAACTTACTATGTGGTCGTTGTCAATCTTGTGTTGGACGTCTTCAATTCCATTCCTTTCAGAAGCAGCCGCGTGCTTCAACGAGCCATTCGCACGGCTGTTGCAAGACTCTCTGGGGTGACGCTGTCAGAGGTAGCTTTGAGATTTCCTGCCTTAGCTTCAGGTGGCCGTAGGCTGCTCCGAAAACTGAAGGAAGCAGTGAACGTGGATGTTGGCATTCGTTTCGTGGACAGTGCCAGGGCAACCGAAGTGAATCAGCAACTCCTGCGCGAGACTGGACCGTCCGTTCAGCGGGTTGTAACGGAGGAGGTTGAAAAAGCCGGAGCTTCGGGCCAGGTAGAGGTGGTGCGGTGGACACCTGCTCCAAACCCACTGTCGTACAATCCGAATAAAGGTCCTGTCGATTCAGGTTTCCACTTTGATGATGGTGTAAGCCTTGGGTAGCAGTCTAGCCGATCAAACCTTGTAGTGAATGATTTCGCTCCGATTCACTGATGTGAACCTCAAGTCCCGTAGGGCTGACAAGGTTAGTGTCACGGATTCTTCTAAAAATCGCTCGGCCTCTCAAAGGCCGAGCAGGCTTGACCAAGGTGTCAACAGGCCAAAGAGCCAATCACGAGGTTAGAGCGTCGCAAAAGACTGCCGTGTGTACGGACAGCCAGATCCGGCACAGTTGGTTGCAGAGCGTGAGATTCCTGACTGTCTGCCAGGGTCTGCCGACACGGGATCTCCTTGCACTCCCCAGCGGTTTGCCAGTTTAGGCCTGCAGTGAGGGCTGCCTTTGTGACAGGAGTAGTTTGCAACATTCTGAAATCTTGTTACTTGTTGCAATGAAGATTCGCGTGGTATCGAGGATGCCTCGGGCCGACAAATACGTCCTCGTCGCAAAGATTGATGTGCATGGCGCTGAGACGTCTGCTCTTGGCCACACGGCGTCGACAGCTGATATGCCGACGTCAATGCCGAAGCTCTGGGATCACTTCTTCCAATGTACCCGATAAGAGCAAGCCTTCCTGAGGCGCGGAGAAGCTGGTATGGACTCGACTGCTTCATGTCATCTGAGTTTCGTGAGCCCATCGAGCCACCCCCCCCCTCCTACAACCCCCTCACACATCCTCACACCATCCGGTTGCGACACTGCACCTTGGGGATGGAAGGAACAACCGCAAGACAAAAGTCTGTGTCAATGCTTCGCGCGTAGGAGCTTATCTATGGCTGTACCTTCGTGGGGCAGACGAGCAGGGATTGGAGGCATGTCTTTGTGAGCTGTGTTGGTGCTTGGGCGACGGACTCAGCAGCAGAAAGTGCCATAAGAAGACAGTTGAATGCAGAGAGCCTAGCTCCAACTTATTCAGCAGGCGCCAACCAGTGGGCTCACCAAACATCTTCGATCGCTTCGAGGCATTGACGCTCGTAAATGTTCCGGAGAAGAGAGAGTTGTTTGGTTGTTCCTTAGCAGAAAAGGGGTCGATCAAATCGGCTGGAATCTGATGATAGGTCCTGTCATACAGGGTTTTTTCCTGTCTCCCTTCAAAGCGGAAGATCCATCGATTCTGTCAGCACACGTCTTATGTGTCAGGTGAAGCCCAGCAAGCCAGCCTATGAGATCGGTGAGACCGTGCACTTGGAGGCCGTTTGGGCGTGGATGGCTTCCTGGAGCGCAGGCTACGCTAGGAAGAGCCACAAAGGAACATCCCGAATCCGAGGGCTGATTATGAGTATCGATGCTGGTGATGGTTGCAGTAAGAGCAGAAGCTGCACGAACTGGACTGTCAGGTGTGGAACCCATTGGCGGTGAAGTCCCGACTGCTCATCATTTGGGGCGATCAGCCTGCTGCCCGCAGCCTAAGCATGCGCAGAAACAATGCAAACTGCCATAGTTGGCTGTCGTCAAAGTGACAATGTGGCCATGCGAGACAATGCACGCACTTTCACTTTACTAGCGCTGCGTTACATCTGGAGATTTCTGGAGCATTGGGGTCCCTTAAGCGCATTGAGCTTCCGGTTGCTTGAGCTTCTCCGGTTGTTTGAGACGCGTTGATTTCGTTCTTGCTCTGCTGTGACTGGAGGAATACAGGGACCAGAGCATCGGGCTGGCATGCTTGCACGATCTTGCAAGCACGAGGTCCTCGATGTCGAGAATGTTACTGACAGCCAAAAAGCAGCTCCCCCAGCATGAGCTTTGAGGTACCGCTAAATTGTGCACTTGTGATTTTTGCAAGCTCGTCCGTACCATGGCAGCGCGCAACGTGTTCAGATAGTGTCGGTATTACCCAAGCATAGCGACCTCAGGCTTCAGGTGTCAGAATTTGATGTCATGGGCTCGTGCAACAAGTACTCGAAAAAATGGCAGACTGCGGCAGTCTGCAGTTTCCTGCAGCTACGGAGTCAGTCCGTGAGGTCTCACTTGGCACCATGAAGGAGCAGGACTGCCCAATGCCACTGTGCCAGGCAGGGGAAGAAACGGGTGATGTGCCATGTCTCGCAGCTTTGTCTTTTGCGCAATCATTTAAAAATCGCGGACGCGCAGAGCTATCCTGTCCTGCAAAGGTTCACGTCTTTGCCTGCAGCACGGAAGACCCGAGCTCGATCTTCAACAATGTTCCGCACTCTGTTCACTACCCCCAGGCCTGCTGCACATCTCAGTCATTCGCATTGCGCATGGCATACCACCTACTGCCAGTCGTTGTGTTTTCACGCATCAATATTCGATGTTGATGGGCATGGTTTGCACAGGCTGCACCCATATGGGCGCATCAGGAGGCGGCATTTCATTCATCATCTGTGATGTTTAGCACATGCATGTCGCAGGCTGCTACAGATGTTTGACTTGATCTGCAGCTCTGTTTACAGCTTGCAGGTCAAGCTGCACATCTCCCGGCCAAGCAGTGCCTTGAAGGCGTCGCTGCATCTCACCGCTAACATCTTGCTTCGCCAGATGGCCTGGGGGGGGGGGGGGGGCGTTGCGTGCCAAAATCCTCAAAAGCTGACGTCAGGTGCAGGTTGCTCCGAATGTCGCCAGCACAGCTCCTGGTAGCGATGTTGAAATCGAGGCCAGATGGCGCCTTTGAATTGCATGCACTTGTATCATCCGTGTACACTTTCCAAACTTCAGGTGAAGGTCAGCCAGGCGGGGCAGGCAGAGGTGGCAGTTATGGTGGTCGACAAGGCACGGGCACCTGCAGACCTCCAGAGCCTCCAACTCCTGCAAAGCTCTCAGAATTGAATTTGTATTTGTCAACACATTTCAAGGCTTGGCTGGACTTGCGCCCATCGAAGCTGCAAGATCCCCTGAAGGCTGGCAGGGTTTGCAGGCTTTGGCATTGGGTTTTGTCTGCGTGCGGTCATAAGCACAAGCTGGAGAAGTAGAGGTCTTTGCTGTAAGAGATCCGGGTGGGGTGACACTGTCGGATCTGTCGGCCAATTTCACATGTTATGTGTGTGTGTGTGTGTGTGTGTTTTTTTTTTCGGTGTTCGGTCCAGCAGTGAGCTTGCATAGATTCGAACATCTGGCGCCGCACGCGAACTCGATACTGCAGTCCATTCTAGCATCCCCTGCCGTCCATCGCTTGGCTTGAACATCCCGGCTGTCGTCGTGCTTCTCTGGGTTGGGCGGGGAAAGGGCGCTCATGAGCACTGGGGCCGTTGGGCCCTGTGATGCCTGGCCTCGGCCTTCACTTTATGCTGGACTTGTATTGCAGTTTGTGCCACCTGCCAAGTTCAGTCGGGTTGATCCTACAGCGATTAGAAGACCCATCTTTGTCCGTATGTCAAGCCTGACTGACCTAGGCTACATGCATACATGCAGGGGCATTTCACAGCAACAGCTTGCCACGCTTGACTTGGTCAATCTGCTGCGCACACGTAACGCAATTAAGAATCGAATGTGCCGAAGGCTTTTGAGCCCAGCGAGATCGAAGCCCGTGGACCACAGTCCGGATCTTGTTTTGCACTTTGAGTTTTGAAGTTCTTGTTGGGCTATCAGATTCACGTCACTGCCCACGAGAATGTCCAAGCAACCGAATGCCAAACAGAAGGGTAGCCATATGATGTCTTTTTGAACGTTCAGACTGGTTCAAATCGAAGGTGGCACATCGTGACCTCTCTTGACGGCATTTCCTCCGGGGATGCGCTCGGGAAGGCGCTGTGGAAGCTTAGGGCTCACCAGCTACCTATAGACCAGTATAGAGCTATTATAGTATAATAGCACCTATAGCCCTATAGCTTTCTTAGACGATCTTAGATCCCTTACGTGTTCCCCAGGTCCTCCTTGGGTGTTCTTCAAGTCGACTCTAAGTCTACTTTCGGGGACGGCTTCGCAGCAAGGCCACAGAGATTGTCCGACAGCGGTTGGAGCAGAACCCATGGGCGAGCCTGGCAAGGTCTTGCTCTCTTCCAGTGTGCTCAAGAGTGCACAGCATCAGGCTATAGTGCGGCTACTCCTTGAGTTCTTCCGCAGTGGTCTAATCACCTAGCGGAGCTTGGCTTGAGTTTAGTCTTGTTCTTAGCAGGTAGGGCCGGACAAGGTCAGCTATTGATTCTATCATAGGATGAGCAGGGCGGGCACATTACTGTGTTCATCCTCTTACATGTCACATGGTGGGGAAGGGGGTGCGGAGAGGGCTGGGTGCGGGCGTGGGATCAGTATTGGTAGTGTCAATCTGGCTTGGTGGGTCGGGAGGGGTCCTATCAGAGCAGCCGCGAAGTCATACTGCTGGGCGTGTATAACGTTTGCTGACACCTTGCTCTTCAAGTCCAAGCCAATGTGATGCAGTGCTGAATACGTTTTACTGTGTTTTGCTGCTTCTGTGGCCAGATGGGCTTCCTGAGCTGGCCCATCTCGTTGCGCCGCGCAGACCACCGGCTGACGATTTATTAAAGCCTAAGGTTTGGGAAGCGTTGGGTGCATCTGGTGGAAGGGTGTACTGACTCAGGATAAGTCGGAGCTGGACGACGATGACTACCTGGAACGCTGGGGACAGGCGGGGACACATGGGACCGGCGAGTGATTGCACGCCAACTTTCTTAAAATCACGTTCGCAACGTGTATTTCATTGTATTCGCTGCCAGCCTCTGTAGCTTTAGTGCTTTCTAATGCTTGCTTGCTATGCTATTGGCCAGGAGTTGACGGCGTTCCCTCGTTCTCCCTTGGCATGGCGCCCGGCCAGACTTGCACAACCTGACGCAGACAGAAGCCGCTCTCTGGTTCAAGGTTGAGGAGTTTGCTTACAGAAGCCGGGGTGGACCATTGATGATGGCCGGGGCCCGAAAGTGCTGGATCACCCTTTTGTGCTAATTAAAAAAACAACTACTGCAGGGACTGAAGCTGGAAACAAGCAAACAAGAACACATACATGAAAAGAAAAGGATTCATGAACCTCTGCTAGACGTCTACTGAGGCAAAGGGAATGGCGGCACCCATGGCTCTCATGGAGAGTGCTCCTGTGCCAGCGGCCCGGACCTCAGGGCCATCAGTGACATCATGTGTAACCACGCGGAGCGTTGTTTGCAAAGCCTGAGTGTCTCCTGCCAAGATGGCCGAAGCCGACATGGCCATGGACGACATGGCCGAGGGTACACCAGAAGCTGAAGAGACGGTGGGCCTCAATTCAGTGGTGTAGTGCTTTGCTTTTTGCAACAAAGAGGGAACGAGCTGTTTAGCTCTGCTTTCTGCGTTTTGTCAATGCTTGTGGTAGAGCAGGGATCTGGCAGAAGCCAAGTTGTGCTCCGGAAGCGGTTCGCGAGGACCTCAAAGCGACCATCACATGCCTTGTTAACAAGGATCAAAGCAAGAAAAGCTGCTTTCCATTTTTATCTTTTACGGGCTTTTGCTTTCAGATTTGCGCAGAGGCCAAGTTGGTCGCATTGAATCGAGCGCTTCTCGCCCCAACCTTAGTCGGACAGAACGGTTCGAAGTTTCTGGTTCTGCGCCTGCTTAACTATCAGGAACCTGGTATCAACTCCTGGACAACTCGAGTTCGGTGTCAAGCTCAAGATGGTTAAACTTGTTTTTTGAGTGCTTTCGAATGTGTCAATTCGCTGCATTTCGCTGCTCAGGCTGCCTCAGGACTTGTCCACATACGTGATTCGGGTGGTCGCCGTGTCCCGCGAGGAACTCTTGCTGTAGGTTGCAAGACTGCTGCAAGTCATCATCACAAACGACTAACACTTATTGCGTTTCTTCCCAGGACACTGGCACGTGGTCTTGGGGCGTTGCCGAATCCTCTGTGCAGACTTTGCAGCCGGTGCCGGGGTCCTAGTGACCTAGTGCCTTTCGGGGACCGGACTCAGGGACTCGGCATGGCACAGCTCCTTCGAAGTTGCATGTTTTGAGCTGCTCAAAGCAGTTATATCCAAAGTCTAAAGGACGAGGAAAATCTAGGAAAACCGAAGAAGCGCACAGCGCCACGCACATGCGTTCAACTATGCCGGATCCCGAGCCCACCCATCCATCAGAATGCTAGTCCCCATCCTCTGACAATGAATCCCCGTCCTGAAGCAGCAAAGTTCCTGAATATCGGTTTCGGAACCTGGCGTGCGACCCAAAGACGAGAGATTGTCCGACTGGAAATGCTGCAAAGGTATGGCAAGCCATTGCTGCCGCGGGCATTCTTGGCGTGTCATGGATTGGGATGCTCCCCCTTTCACTAACAGTCCTTAAAAAGGGATAAAAGAAGCCCCCTATGATTATCTCTACTAAGGACTGTTTGTATAAGGGGGAACATCCCAAGTCACAGAGCATTTTTGAAAGTACAAGCCTGTGCCATCCTGTGCCTGCCAGGTCCTGCGCTTCATGGATGTTTGCCGAATGGGTGTGTCGATCCAGGCGCCCGTGACAGCACCAGCTGGCATTGCCAATGCGCACTTCAACTGGCCAGCAGTTCCTCTTACCTGTTGTACTTTGATTCGCTGCTGCTCTTGTTGGCTCTCTGGAATGTGATGAGATCATCATTTCATATGTTTCATTTTTGTCTTTGGACGTAACATCGTTGGACCAGAAGCGCTGCCACATCCGTAGGCTGCCATCGATGACATCGGTGGGCCATCCCGCCCCCTTCTTGTGGAAGCCGTCAACGTGCAGAACCTTCGGCTTCTGGAGAAGGCAGGTGGAAGATATCAAGTCACGTCACTTCGTTTTTTCCAGCAGATTTCGCCATTCCACAGCGGATGTGCAAAAGGCATAACTTGTACGACTTCCACAGATCGCTGAGTTGCAAGCTATCGCTTGGGAATCAGTAGCTGCGCGAGAGCAGGTCACAACACTCAACACCCAGTCCCAACAATCCACCACAGAAGAGGAGTAGCAATCAGTTGCGCTTGAATCATGGACCCAGCACGGGAAGACAGCTTGAAAGGCAGAGCAGACCATCACGATGACCTCAACCTCTACTGAGGCTCTGTGACTCAGTGACTGTGTGACGGTGTCACAGTAGCCTCAATCCAGTAAAATGTGCTGCAGCCGATGATCTTCAGGAGTCATCGTTGCAAGCGCTTCGGCAGGTGCGCTTCACCTTTGCGTCAGACGTCTCTGTGGGTCCAGCCTATGTCGTCTTCAACATCAAGGCAGTTTGCATCTCCGCAGCTAGCAGTGCCATACGAGGGCTGCGAGTGCAAGCTTTCAGCAGGCTCTAGTTACTGTAGTTGCTCTGTCTAGTTACAGTAGGTGTAAGCTAAATTCCACCCGGCGGGGGGTGTTACCACGACCAGCTCTTTCGTATTGTGCACTTGTCACGACCAGATTGCTGGCGAACACCGACCTGGTTAGCATGGCTTGCACGGTGGGCTTCACAAGGGTCTTCATCTGGTTTTCAGGTTCAGGGGCCTTCCTGCTAATGTCGAGGGTTGCATTATGGTTGGGGACAAAATGGGTTTAGCGTCTGGAATGCTAGGGGTTTTGGAGTTGCTCTGTTCTCAAGAAATTGGTGGCTTCGTGCCTATGCTTTGGTTCCAAAGAGGGGCGGTTTCGTGCCGAAACCATCATTCGTTTGAAGTTCCTGGCAGGGCAGTGGAGGGATTTCAAAGTTTCAAGAAACGAACGAGAACCTGCGGTTTTCTAAAACCCTAGCTGGGCAAACAGAAAGGGTTGTAATTGGGTGGAGGGGTCGGGCCGTGGTGGGTTTGATTTCCGGATCCTGGATCAGAATATTTCGGAACAGCGGTCCCTAGAGTCCCAATTCACGAGAGGCAGCGGATCCAGCCTTGCGCAGTATAGTCTTGAGTGCCTTTCATTTGTGCAGGATGCTTTTTCAAACTCCACCCTGGACGCCGTGGCAGCAAACATCGATGTGGAGGTGCAGCAGCAGGCGATGGTGCTGACCAGCTGGCATTATGTTGCATTGGCGTGGAGCTCGCGCTGCCTGTTCTCAGCCTAGCCACGTGGAACTGCGTCATCTTGCTTGCGCAGGGATTGCGCATGGCCTCAACGACAAGCATCAGGGCCAATCCCTCGCAGGCTCATTGATTGATCGTCAGCGCTGAAACATTGCGCGTCATGACTCGACGGAAGCTGTAGATCTGAGTGAAGCTTCCAGGGCTCCGTGCGCAAGGAGGCAGTTGCACCTCTGAACGTCCGGGTCCTGGCATCGTTTCGAACAGACACTGGACAGGTTTTGATCATGTGTTTTGCGCATTTATGTCGCTTATTTCTTGATGCCCTGGCCTTTTCGCCTGTGGTCTCATAGTTTTCGAGATCTTCCAAGGCTGTTCCCGGATCTGGTGAGATGTCCTTCTCGGCGTCTGTTGGTTTTCAGGCTGGCCTTTACCGTAAGCCCTTACAATATGCCCTTACAATCCCTTACAAGGACCAAGCTGCAAATGCGTGTAGGCCCCGCTCCTCGCTGCCTTGTTGGAGGCCAGCTGCAGACTTCTTGTGGCTCAGTCTGACTTCCGACTCCTGCGTTGCATGCTCCGCCTTGGCAGTTGGCACCGCGGTCCTACGAGCAATGGCAGCCACTGGGCGAAGACATCCTGGCGCGCAGCTCAGACACTTGGGACATCCTCAGACTTCAAGTTCCCCCACCCTGAAAGCGGGGCTTCACGTCCCCCGCACCGAAAGGTCATCCCTAAGCCTTGAACCCCAGCATCCCGGAGCATTCCCGAAACATGAATCCTAAACATTGCTCCCGAAGATCCTACAAGCAGGCAAGTGACAAGGGCAAGCCCTAAACCATCTTACACCCTCAAACGAAGCAGGACCTGAACATCCCCCCCACGCAGCTCGCAGCCCCTCAATGCAAAAAACCTCCGAAAGCTCTAGTCGACTCTAAGCCCGAAACAGGGACCCACGTTGTCTCTTACAACGCCCTCGAAGCAGCAAACCCTGAACTTTGCGCTGCATTCGAACGACCAGCAAGTCCGAGATCCCATCTTTTTCTAGAGCATCGATAGCCCAATGTCCCAAAAGGATCCAAGAGCAGCAACCCCTAACCTCCGAGGAGGCGCGTGTGACAAACCATTTTATCCCGGCCGGACTCGCAAGTCAATAGAAAGCCAGCCTGAGAAGATGTTTATGCAGATGTTTTTCTCCATTGCGTGTTTGTCGCTTGCAGACAAGTGAGTACTTCTGACAAGTCTAAGGCGTTGCTGCTTGGGGGCCTTGTCCTGCATGTGGGATATGGTCTCGAGGCAAGTGCAAGCTATTGGCTGGGACAGTGGCATGAACCAGCTGGAATGTCACCTCAAGTGGGGATGGTATTGCTGCAGCTTCCCACTGGGCCACTCAAAACAAGCTGTGGATTCATGCAGATTCGGGAGGCTTCGCACGAAGGCCTTGCCGCCGCCATCGCTGCTGCTGAGCAGAGGCTGCCCAGACACGCTCTCCACTCGGGCGGCGGTTGGCAATGCGGGCAAATGCTGAAGAAGAGAGCAGAGTCAGATTCCTTTGCAGCGATATGAGGTTGTCGCGGATCTTGGAATGGTGAACGCACCGCCGGAGCAGCGATCATGGCGAGGAGGTTCTGACCAGCTGTGCAAGGTTCAGCCGATGTATCCAGTGAGGGGTAGGCAGCTGGCAATGGTCGCACTGCGTTGTTGATGCAGGAACAGAGCCCGACCTGCTCCTCAATAGCCTGGCTTTGCTCACGACGCGAGCGGCTGGGCCGGCCTATTGTCCCCTTCGGTGCTTTGATTTCTTCGATTCGTCAATCTTCATCTTGTGTGCCAGGCCCGAGCTCTTGGCCTCGTGCCGGCAAGTTGGGTGGGGTGGCCGAGCTTCACAGGAGGTCGTCGCAGATTGTCGTGTGGCCGTCACTGCCATCACTTGACCTTCCCTATCTCGGAGCCTATGTTTGGGTGGACCTCATGGTGGACTGAGGCACCATTGGATGAAGGAGTTCTCTTGAATGCTGCACAGCAGGCCAGACCCCTCCGCCACCTCAAAGTCAGCAGCACCGCTTGCAACATCGCAGACAGGCGTACTGCACACTGGCGACAGTCATAACACAACTAGGAAAAGCTAACGGCTCAGTAATACTGACTGGGTAGGATCATGAAAGTCTTCTAAGATAGAGCGAACTCACACGACAGGCCTTGCAGACTCAGCAGCAAGACTGGATGAGGCTCAGCACAGATCGTCATGACGTTCCCGCAGCCATCCGCAACTCATCCGGTGCACTTGGCCAGGTGTTGCCAGCGTGACATGTCTTTCGTCAGCCGGAGGCTCAGACTGGGGCAACACCAGGCGTTTTGTGCGCGGCGCAGTCATGCTCGGCTGTCAGGCTATATCGGTCCATGGCACCTGGCCGTGTTCTTCCTGGCGTATCCTCCTGCCCAATCCAGGCTAGCACTCATTGGTTGCATCACCTGACATCACATGGGAACCTCCAAGATTTGCCAGGAAAGATCTTCAACCTCTTTGGGAGGAGATGGCAGTGATGTGCGTCGCATGTTCTTCTACGTTGCAGCAGCATCACAATTGTTAGCTGAAAGAGGCTTGTTCCGTAGTTCAAATCGACAACTGTCAACTCTTGCAGCCCTCTGCACTGTCGCAGTACAGAAGCACAGATTGCACTTCGTTTAATCTTCGTATCTTGTCGCCGTGCAAAACAGGAGTTACTTCGCACGGCCATCACTGGTGACAAAGGCCCGGAACTTGGGCGATGAAGGGAATTCAGGGGAGCCGGGAAGCCCTGGCCGGTTTGTTCTTAGGGTTCTCCCCGAAGTCGGCCAACCTAGCTGCAAATGCAACAGCACGAACTGAGCACGAACTTCGAGGAGCCAATGCTGCCTGTAGAGAATGTGCTGCATTAATCATCATCCCAGCTGCGGCAGGCAGTGAGCTCGACATCCTGACACGCATTGCGCGGCCCCTGGAAGAACCGCTGGCAGAAGAACTTCCCCAGAAGGAATGCAAAGCAGCTAAACAACATCAACAAGCCATGCATCCGTAAGGACTTTCAATGAGTCTCACGAGCAACCAAGCCCGAGCGAACGAGCTTTGATCCTCGTTTTCGTTGTCAAGCAAGGACCGCAGCTTAGTCACCAGGAAAAGCCCCATGAGCCTCTCATCCAGGCTTCAGAGGCCTCCAGGATCCTGGCTCCGAATTTAGGAAAAATCACGAGAGCAGGCCATGTTGCCCAGCCCCTTGATGTCCTTTGAACAAAATGGGCCGTTTACAAAGGCCTCAGCGGAGCTAGGCCGCGGCCTGGTGCCTGCCTTTGGTGCAGACCGCCGTGCCTACGCCGCTCGGGCTGCCTTGGGGCACAATGAGAATTTTGTGCCATCCTGCTGCTGTTGACTGCGAGGCGACTGCTGAAGCTTTGCTGGGTCGCATACGAGTGCGCCGGGTGTTTGCGCTTGGGCAGACAAGGTTCCCATGTGGTCCCATGTGGTCCCTCAAGCAGGTACAGGGCCCCACAGCATACGTTGCCGAAGCAGAAGGAGGACGCAGCCTTACAGCGAATGTGCTTTTAGTTCGAAACATCATGATCATGATTATTCTGGCATGAACGAGTCGAGAAGCAAAGATTTTGCCAAGCATTGTGCATCCAGGCGCTAGGTCGGTGGAAGCACCAGGCTCCGAAGCTAGAAACAAGGTGGAAGGTCGTTGGATTGCCATCTGGGGATTAGGGACATAGCCTAGCTAACTCATGCCAGGTTGGGCAGTTGGCTAGTCGAGTTCTGGGGATGGTGCAAGCTAAGGCATGCATTCTGCCAGCCGATGGATTCAGTCGCTCTCGTTGTGGCTTTGGTCCGGCCTGCCAAAGTATGCAGTGCACCCAAAGCCAGAATGTAGGCTTCAAACTTCAAACACTTGGCGACTCGCTAAGTGTGTGGTCGCGCTCATGTCTGCTGTTGCCTTCTCACTCACATTTGGACGGCGTGCTCCATGAAGCCATAAGGCTGAGAATCCCATGACACCGCTAGTGGCAAGCCAGCTTCTCTCGGCCGCCACTGTCTCAGCAATCTCCAGCACCCAAAGGACGTTCGGTGTGTTTGGTGGCGACGTGTCAGGACCGGAGCCCTTGGCAACGCAGCCTGCCTCCAAGGCCTGAAGGATTTAATGCACAGTTATTTAGCAGTGATTCAAAGACTTTACAACGTCTTTATCATTGGCTGCGCATACATATGATTTGGCCGCCAAGCTCATGAGAGCGCGGGCGTTGAAGAGCTTTAGTAGCACCAGCACCACCAGAACCAGTACCAACAAGAGCGACAAGTACCACTTCGATCAGCCCCACCCTTTCAATCCTAAATGGTTCGATGTCAGTTCCCAAATGTCTCCGTGATTGAGTTTCCGGTCAACGGAAAAACGCGGGCTTCAGCTCACTGACCTAGTCTACGATAGGTCACTGAGCCCCCACTCCCTTGACCCTAGATCATCCTAAGTCGCTTCAAGCCCGCTGCTTGACAAGGGACCTCATCATGGCCTCGGTGAGCCTTCTCGCGTTCGATGCCGCATCAGGTGCGAGCGCAAGTGAGGCATGCATGTTTTGTCAGTCCATGTCACCTGCAGCCGAGCACGCGTCAACACAGTTAGTTTCCACATCGCTGGGCGTTTTTTTCCTCTCAGGGTCTTCAACTGAAGCGGACATTCCACTTCAAATCATGGCACAAGCCGACACCCTGCTTAATGCCAGGGACTTAGATCGAGTGGACAGCTCCAAAGATTTGACACTCTGCAGTGAAGATCCCAGGTCGAGCTTCGGTCGACGCCTCCCAAGCTGCTGACAGTTTGGACGGCCTGGCCCTGGAGTGAGCCAAAGCCTCAGAGGTAAACAGTCGCCTCTGCGCATCTCTGCACACTTCGGAGGGTTGGAAGGATGTTGGCGTGTGCTTGAGGCTTCCCGACACGCTTCCAAAGCGGAGTCCCAAGTGCTGGCAGTTCATGGCAGCCCAAGCGCTGAGACTGCTGTGGAATTCAGAGTGCAACTTTTGGCTGAACTCTGAACCTGCCTGATTGGTCAATGGGCAGCAAAGGTAGAGATTCTCGGTAAACAGACTTCGAAGAATTCCGCGGCTGCTTGCGCAACGGAAGAACTACCTTTGTTCTACTGAGGAGCGGCATGGACCTGGAAATCCAGGTTGGTGCGGGGAGTGGCCTGGCCATTGTGAGCTTCCCTGGCACTTATTGAAATGGGGTCTCTGTATGTTTCTGTTGATGCCAAAGCATGCTAAAGCTGTGTTTCCGCTTGAATGATGTTGAATATACTGAATATATTGAACTGAAGAGGACGACGGTCATGTCTTGTCGGCCGCAGCCAGGCTATGCCATCGACCTCATCCCCGTGAAGCCCTTCGTGGAGCCCCAGTTCAAAGGCCTGTCGTGAAAGGGTGATACCTTGCTCTCGGGGGCACAAGAGATGCCCTTCTCAGCCTTTCTCAGTTCCAGGACAACACAGGTGGACTGGAGCCTAGAGTATGTTGATAGCCTTGATACATCGTTGATATACACTTCACTCCAGTGACTCGGAGCAAGCATGACCTATTCCATTCAAGATGTTCTTGCTGTTCCCTTTGTGCAAGTCAACTCCCTCCATCGGCAGAAGCTCTCGATTTGCTAGCTGCTTTTGGTTTACAAAGCTCGTATGTCGGAGGCATCATGGTGCAGAAAATCGTCCAGAAGCTGGATACGCTACTTGGCTGTGTCTTGGGTGAGGGCCACTGAACATCCCTTGGGATCTTATGAGAGGGTATTGACGGGCATTTGGTTCTGAGGGAAGGATTAGGTACCTTGTTGTCTAGGCCCCTATAAAACCCTAACTCCAATGCTAGGGCCTCAGGCGGCCTAATTATGTGCATGGCGGCCGCGTTCAGCGGCTGTCCCTGAGTACACCCGAGTACGTACCAGTACGACCGAGCACGCCCGGACAATCAATCAGTGACTTTTCAACAGCGTCCTTCTAAACCGAGTAGAAGCCGCTCATACCCGGTCTTATATACCCGGTCACACACCCGGACATACCGTCATGTGCCTTTTCGCAATCGCTGTTTCCTGTCACAGTAGTGTAGATAAATCAGTAGTGAAGCTCGATTGCAGGACCTCGTCATAACTTACCAAAGTCCTACATGTCAAGGGTTTACGGTTTAGGGTTTCTTTTGACCAGGTTTTGGGGTTAGGTGATGCACGAATCTGCGGGGGCCTGGACCAGATTCGTTGAGGACAGCCAAGGATGATGAACACTAGAAGACATTATATAAAACTTAAACACAAGAAGGGCTAAAGGAGATGCTTTGAGAGCAAAAGGATGCTGCTGGTACTGCGAATCGGACCTGACAGAGTTGCTAGTCACTGCCAGTGGTGGTCGCTGCCACGGACCTGCTGTTCACGTTGCCAAACCCGGACAGCTACTTTGCGTGGCGCCCTCATGTGACGCATCCAAAACATGGTTTGCGTCGCGGATGACTGAGCGAACCCATCAAAGACTCGAGGATTGGGAGTTTGCTGAGGTCACCATTCAGGTAACATCTCCAGATGATTTGCACGACGTTGAGGCCAGCCGCATGTGAGATGGCTTGGGATTCAGGCTCCTTGAAGATCTGAAGAAGCCTTGGCACCAGGTCATGGACCTCGTTTCGGCGGGCCTGGAGCCTTTGGACGAAAACTTAGCTGCGGGAGCTGCCGTGGCTGGTGAAGATCCTTCAGGTGCGACACCGCACCTGTCACTTGCATGGAATTCTTGGCGTGCCGTGAGAACGATCGTGGAGCCGCCGCGTCGAAGTAGGATGAAAGAGATAGAACTGACACGACGCCCGACTTCTGGCACAAGCCCAATCACTAAGCCCTGCCTCTCTGGCTCGCCCTGTATCGGAAACATGCTGCAGCTCAAGCGTAGGAGCTGAAGCGAAGCGGCCACACGCCTCGCGCACCCGCACCGCTCACCCACCCCGACCACCTTAAAAGAAGAAGAAAGTTCCGAAACTAACGCCCCCCGAGGACTAGAACTTCGAAGGCCTTATCTGGCCCAAACCCAGGTTTTCGGCCGAAAATGAGGGCTCGAAAAGGCCAGATTAGCCAGCAAGCCTGTGCCCAGCAACTTCGCCGCATCTTTGGGATTCGTTAGGATGCCCAACCCTTGCTGGCCGGTCGTTGCACTGCTAAGCAAGCGTTGGGAGTTTTGCAACCCGACCATGCTTGCAACGAAAGAACCCCAATCGCCAGTAAGTCAGAAGTTCAATCACCGGGAAAGGAGCTTCAAAAGGCGTAGGCCGCGGTCACCTTTTCGGCCTTCTCGGAATGTGAAAGCGGACGCAGACTGTGCGCGAAGATGGCTCCCGTTAAGCTTGCAGCTGAACAGTGGCTTCTCTTTTTGTGCCAGCTTTTTCTGTTGTAAGCTGATCGAACATCTGGAGACTGCACAGAACTTCAAAGACCTTCATGAGGTTCGTCGAGACCGAGAAGTCTGTAGCAGCACGGACAAGGAAGCATCGTTGCGGGTCGAAAGCCTTTCCAGCCTCAATTCAGGACTTGGACCGCAACAGCAACGGCAACTGCAGCAGCCGCCACAGCAGTAACAGCAGCACCGACCAAGGAAACCAAGTGAACCCAGTGGAAGTCCACGCAATTCCCCGGAAGCCGGATATATTCGAAAAGATGTAGGTCACCTCAGTATATCAGCATCCTGCAAAGTAGGCTCCGCAAGCAGGTGACAATGACTTTGTCTGGGGCTTGCTGTTGGGCCGGCCAGAGGCTTAATTAGGCTTAGGCACCGTTGCAAACAATCGAAGATAAAAAAGGCGAGCGTGCAGTTTGTGCCTGAGGTCCTGGCAGCGAACAGTAAGAAGAGATTCTGTACGCTGGCCGGAGCCTCAGTCTGAACTGAGCGGATGCAAAATTTCAGTTTGAGCCACAAAAGTGATGAGCTTGACTGCGCTGCCAAAGCTGGCAGAGAATCACACAACACAAGCAATCTGAACACATCTGAAAACACTTGTGTTGTTTGGTTTCCAACAGGCAAAGCACATACATGTGGGCCAGAGGCTGAGCGTGGACGGAGAGAGCACATGTGCTTCGCATGTCTCCGCCAGCGCTCAGTGGCTCAGCGTTGTATTGCCTTTCTTGCCAAGGGTGGCACGCACACATTGTCCTTCAACTGCATTGCGAACGTCGGCTGCATAGCTTCTAACTTGTGACTGCGCACGGAGTTGAAATAACATGCTTGTAGTCATTTCCATTCAGGCGCCGGGTGTGTACTCTCTGCCTGCGACGAAAGCCCATTCCGTGAAGTTTCCGGAGGCATTGCGGCTTTGTGCAAATGCTGCAACAAGTGTTGCATGTTGACTTCGTAGTTGCTCGATCTTGCTGGTAAATGAGCCCTTTGTGTTTGCACGTGTATTCGAAAATGTTCTGCTCGCTCGTGATTCAAAACAGCAGTTCTCTAGTTCTCTTCTTAGCCTGTTCTACGTGGATCTACATTGAGCCAGGTGATGGGTTTCAGCGGAGCTGCCTCATTTCTGGTGGAGGACTGCCTAGCGGGCCACGGTTCTGTCATACTTGCCATTGACATGGATTCCTTCATGCTCCGCCCAGTCATTGGAGTAATGGTAATCGTCTGCCACCTGTTTCCGGTTTCGGCTCCGAACCTGGGCCTCCTTGTACTCGAACCCTGAGCCATGAAGCCCCTAATCCCTGAATCCAAAAGGTGGACCTGGAGGCCAGATGTTTGAAAAGGTTAAAGGGCTCTTGAATCCGGGCTTGGCTGGAATCATTCCGGCCTGGTAGTTCAGTTTTCCGGTACCCCGGCTTTGCTGGATTGCATTGGAGTGCCCGTTCTTGGACTTGATCGCCAGGCTGCTTTACAGGGCAGATTCGGCTTTATGAATGGGGCTGAAGCCAGGTTTTAGCCAGTGCGTAATAGGAACTTTTTGAGAAGCTTGGGCATTATCGGATCATTATCGTTTCCTTGCAGGCACTTTTCATTGCAAACGCTTGTGCGCGCCGCCTCAGTCGGGTTGGCCCAGCGCGGGGTGTCGCATGCGCCACGTTCCTGGCAGGGGTTCAAGGGGGCCCATGCAGAAGAGGCGGGCTTTCAAGAAAAACCGGTCCGTCGGGCGGGTTGTCGGGGAGGTCCCGGAAAGGGTCCTAGGGCGAAGGAGACCAGATCCTGGCCTGCTTCCAGACGCTCCGAGCGAATATTGCGGTGAGCTCTGCCAATCGATGTCCACGGGGACGACAGCTTTGGTAGCAAAGCTGGATATGCAAAGGTGTGTGCACGAAACAAAGCGAGATACAGTGATGCCCAAGAACTCCACAGTCAAGTTGCAAGCGCGCGTGTGACACCAGGAATACATGTTGTTTGGCATTGTGTGGGCTGTTCACATGGCCCCTCATGTTACCCTGGCTCCTGGTAGAGGACACAGCCGACAGTCCGAATGCAGTGCTCCTGCCTCAGAGGGCCAGACGGGCCAGTTGCCAGTTGCTGAATCAGGGAACGTAGATACACATACTCAATAACTACAAGTTGAACATACTTGAACTCATGGTGTTGAATTCAGGTCTGCGCCCATGCTGCAACAGTTTCGCAAGAAGGTCGGTGCAGCGTACCAGGCCATTGACCTTTGACAGCAGATGCCCGGGGTGTGTCTTGGTGTTGGATCAAAGCTTAGCAAGCACTGCGCCTATGGTCAAACACTATCCGCATCTCTGTACTATCCTGCCTCGAGGTGGATCTTGGACTCCTTGGAATGGCTCCTGGAGTCTCATCCATGCTCCCTGTGGCGTGCCCTCAGGCCAGCGCGAGCCGCATGACCATAGCCATCTCCCCAATAAATTGGCTCAGACACTAGGCTCGCCTCTACACCATAGCAGGACCATAACAGGACGCCACACAAGCATTGGCTCACAGAAAAGCGTTGGCAATGCGGAGGCTTGCCCTGCAGCTGGAAGCTGCAACCTGGCAAAGGGCATCTGCGAATGTGCCGGGTTTCCAAGAAGATGCTCATCGCGACATTGTCATAGTCGCAGAAACCTCGTTTCTCGATGAGGCCTCCTCGTCTGGGGATCTTCTCCCATGCGAGGATCTGTCCTCGCAGGCGCAGAAGCTCGTTGCCTCTTGTCACCATGGTCGGGTCCCCGTAGTGATGCTGGCAGGAGCCTGTCCGACCCAATCCAGAAGCGCCCTTGCATACAGGACACCAGGACCGGAGCCCCGCATGCAGACACTTCCTGCCTTCTGGCATATTTTTGCATGTATTGTAGGACAGATGTAGTATGAAAAAGGGGTCAGGGTGCGGAGCATATCAAAGAGCAGAGTCTCAAAGCGAGGTTCAAGGGCCAGGGCCGCCAGGGCCAGCACGCCCGGAGGCGGAGCAGATGTTCCGTCTGTAGTTCCGGCTGCGTATAGGTCCGGCTGTCAGTTGGAAGATGCTGTGGCAATAGCAGTTGACAAGGTTCCTGAGACTTTTGATGCTTCCCAATCCAAAGTGGTGATCTCCGGGCTGCTGCTCGCACGGGCCTCAAGCCGACATTGCAGGAAGTGCATCGAAGCGCCAGATCGCGTAAGGAGCGTGAGAGGATTGCTCGTTGCAGCGCTGAGGCAGTCATGGCGGCGTGCATCTACTCTTACGTAGCAAGGATGAAGACTCCGAGGCCAGCTGCCCTAAGCCGGTACAGGCAGAAACGTAACTGCTTGGGGGCGGGGTTTACGGGGTTGGGGGTGGGAATATGCATAGCGAGGAGGGTTTGCCCTCAAGTGGTCCAGCGCCCTCCAAACATGAGCAAAAGGCGAGTTGATGGCGAGTTGAGGTATGCGATTCGAGGTTCGTGATAGTTCTGGACGGGTTGGTGCCAGGAACTTTGCACAGATGGAGATGGAGTTAGGTGGCAGCCTCGGAGAACCAACGTTTGATTGGGCTTGGCCTCGGGTTCCCAGACCCAGGGCACAAACGAGAGGCCCCAAATTCTGAGAGACGTTTTGGACTCTGGACACCTACGAGCTCGGCTCCGAAAGTAGAAAATCTTACGGTGCCAATTGCCAAGAACAGGCTATAGTTACTGGCTACTCGTATTGCTAGCTACATAGGGAGTCCTGCCGTCGGAGCGCCCCAGTCCTGAATCCCCAGCAGCAACAAAGACTTTGACAGCCGGCAAGCTGGGCTAGCGCGCCGGTTGGCCCTCCGAGAATGGCGTTGCGACGGTGCAAGTGCATGCGCTGTACTTGTGGTCACCCATGGGAGGTGAGCATCTTGCATGCTTGCCATCCCCAATTGCCCTCTGCTCCCAAGCACCGTGTGTGTGTGTGGGGGAGGGGGGAATACCCAAATCAGACAACAAGCCGGAACCGATTCCGCTGCAGGTGCTTGAGACACTCTTGAGACACTCTATGATGTTCCTCAGTCAGATTTTATAAAGAAACATGGGGCGCGGCATTTGGGAGCCAAGTGTCTGCTCATTTCACTGGCAATAATGAAAGCAAGCCCCTTTCTGCTTTGCATCGTTGTGGTCTGCAAATTTCACAGATGGCTTCCTACAATATTGATGCTATCACGTCACCCCTACCCCCCCCAAAGAAAAAAATATTTTACTTCGAACATCCCCACCCTCTCTTAGTAGATACTCTAGGGTGGGCACTCCAGGGACACACTGGGGCTGGTCACTCCTCGGACACTCTGGGGTTGGGCACGAGACTCTGGGGTGGGGAGACGGACACTCTGGGGTTGGGCTCCAGGGAGACTCTGGCGCACCGCAGGGAAACTCTGGGGCTGGGCACTCCGGGGACATTCTGGGGTTGGGCACTCCAGGAGGGAGACTCTGGGGCTGGGCACTCCAGGGAGACTGGGGTTGGGCATTCCAGGAGACTCTGGTGCTGGGCACTTTGGGGACACTCTGGGGCACACTCTAAATTTGGGCACTCCGGGACAGGTTGGGCAGAGCGAGGAGTAGACCGGGCGAGGAGAAGAGTTCCGGGCGAGGAGAAGAGTTGAGTTTACAATCTAAGAAACCCACACCGAGGGTGGGGAAAAACAAATCAAGCGTCAATTGAAACTCTGCTGGGGGGGGGGGGGCGGGGGGCCATTCCCTCCTGCCTCCAATATGGCCCCCACATCACTTCTTGCCTTCACGCTACGTATGGGCAGTGGGCTTCGCCCCTCGCACGACTAAAAAGCATTGTCTAGCCTTCGTGGCCCCGATTTCCCTCCAATATGGCCCCCACATTATTTCTTGCTTTCAGGCTACGTATGGGCAGCGGGCTTCACCCCTGCGCACGACTAGAAGCATTGTCTAGCCTTCGTGCCCCCGATTTCAAGTTTACATGAGGTTCGCAGCCTTTCGCGGCCATGGACGAGGTGGCGATTGAAATTCGTCTTTTGATGTGTTTTGTTGCTAATGGTCTTGGCAGAGTCACATGGAAGCAAAGAAGCCCAGCCTCTCTGGAATCAGGTTGCTGCTTCGGAACTCCAAGGGGTTTCGTGACAAACGCATGTATGTGATGTGACAGAGGCTGCCCTTGTCACAGTGGTTGTAAGAGAGTCTGTTTTGCCGGCGCCTGTTCAGGAAGCTGCTCCAAGCACAGATACTTTAACGGTGCCAGAGCGCGGCTCCCATTCGCTGCTTGTCCCTCTTTGCAAATTATGAAAACACATGTATCTCCAATCGGTCAGGGTTCAGTCCTATCGAGGGCACGTCGTAGACCAGTGAAGTTTTCAGAAAGACTGCCAGTTCAGCTCTTGCAGATTCTTGTTGCG